TTGTCTTTTTGATTTAAACTCAGCATTAGCCCTCTTTTCAAATGTATGCTCAGTTATATCAGGAGATCTGACTGTGAAGCCCATGAATGGAATTTTGAGAGTCAATAAAACTAAAATTATAAAAATTTATTGGTATTTGTGTTTTCCTTGAGGAAGGATTCATAGATTGCCTCAGGTTCACAAAAAGTTCATTTCCTTAAAGAGTGAAAACCACTGAGCTATCCAGAACCATCTAGATTGTGTTTCCATGCCTCCTGTGTCTCCTCACCCTTGAACAGGGCAGAGGTGAGGACCCAGGAAGGGGCAGAGAAGGTGTTTGTAATGCTGGAGTACAAGGGTGCTCCTTGGGGCTGATGTGCCAGGGCTTGATCTTTTCTCAGTCAGATTCACCTCTACTTAGAAGCTTCCAGAGTTCACACCAAGCTTATATGAGTGGGAGAAGAACTCTGAGACGGGTCTGAGTTTAGTGATAGGCAACATCTTGCATGCTATGGCTGAAGAAGAAATGGGAAGGTTTAGAGTCTCTTGGCTTTGTGACTCCTCAGCAGCACCTGAAGAAGACACAAAGGCCTTCCAGGCTGTTCAGCTATGACTCACCAAGAGGTCACAGCCAAGCCAGGACACGAAACAGAGAAGCTGTCCTGTTCATGTCATTCATCTGTCAGTCATACACACGAGTGTGTGGCAATACTTATGTCAATATCCAGTGTTAGTAACTGTTACCTTTTTTTTAAAAAAAAGATTTTATTTATTTATGCATACATAACTGGGGTACATGTCGGAGTTGCAGAGGCAGTGAGAGGATTCACCAGAGACAGAGTGGGGAGCAGAACAGGCCGGCTGAAGAAGTACACTGCTGAGGGGAGCAGTGGGTGGGCCAGGAGAGGTCTGACGCACCATCTGGGTCACCTCCGGGTGGGGATCGAACTCATGCTGAAGCAGCTTTAACTTCTTACTGCTGTGCCACCAGGGAGGGCCCAGTGATTGTTATTTTATTTCAACTCTGTGTATGTATACCAGATTTAACTTGATTAAAGGGTACTAGATATCAAAACCCTTGTCAAATATCTATCACATGGTTACGCATGTAACTATTTTTTCCAAATGAATAAGTGACACCACATTAAATAATAAAGTAGCTATATTTGGTAGCACTAGAGTCAAGGTAAGGCCTACATCTTAAGCACAAATTGTTTCGAAGCTTCATCAATATTCATAAAACCTTTCTAGTTCTAAAATGTGTGATTATGGATTGAGAGTTTTACATGATAATAGTTTACATTTCTATAGCCTTTAATAGTTTATAAAGCACCTGAACACAAACTCTTTCATTATTTTTAAGTGTAAAAGGGTTTTGAGGGTTTTTTTGCTCTATATCACCTCTCCTTTGAAATAACCTAAACAATTTAGGTTGCTTTCCAGAGAAAAATGTTCTTTAACTCCCTTCAGGTTAGAATCTGAGAATTTTCTCAGTTCCTGAGTCCTCTTACTACGATCTAAACCTGTCTCCTTTGGTTCCTATAGTCATTGAGATATGACCTGAGGAGTTAATGTTTTCCTGGCAAAACCCGGAGGGATACTTTGCTGTTCTGACCCTTCTTTCATGAAGAACCGCTTAGCAATAAACAGGGTGATCTATTGGAAATAAATAGCCTGGCCCACGTGGCAGCTCTTAGGCATTAGCAAATGGCAGTCAACCCATGGTGTCTGCAAGCCTCTCACTCATGTTACTATCTGTTCTGAATAGTCTGAACTAGATATGTTAGTCAGCTTTGAAAGGTCCTATACCAGGGACCGGTCTCAAATGAGCTACAAGGGTTGGATGAAAGACTCTCAGACCTGACG